GTTGAGTGTGGCTGGAGAGTTTTTCACCAGGAGCCAATAGGGATTTGCTTGGGCCTCTGACCCAGCAAGCAGGCAGGAGCCCAAGTGATCACCAGCACCATTTTAGGTCATCACCCTTACAAGGCAATTTCCCTTGGATAAACAAAAACAGACATTTGTAAAGATGTAAGCAGAGATGTTAGAGTTTAAAAGAAAAATGAAGAATTCAGTCAAAGAGCTCTTCTAAAATAAGAGCCCATGTTTCCCACATAGAGAACTCTCTGGACATAGGTAAGGCTCTTAGGATCTGGTGACAAGCTAGGCCTGGTTTTGAAGAGGTTAAATGAATTCCACAGTGATATTTCTTTTTTAAAGGATTATTTATTATTGTGGAGTGTGTATAGTGTGTGTTTGTGTATAGTGTGATTGTGTATGTGTGTGCGTGCCAGCTCAGAGGACAACTGTCAGGAGTCAGTTCTCTTCTTGTGCTGTGGGTTCAAGGGAATGGAACTCAGTTTGTCAGGCTTGTGCAACAAACACTTTACTCACTGAGCTATCTCACTGGTCACAATAATTCTTCTGAGTTGTGGTCAGCATCGATAAGGAACTAGAGCATGTCTGTAATGGATTCCCACTGGCCTCTTCTAGGCCCTCTGTAGGCTCTTGCTTGCCTTGCTGCCCTGGCTCCCCTCTGGGACACACTGCCATTTCAGAGGGATATTAGCAGATAACCTTTATTGGTTGCCATTGCCGAACTACAGTTCAACTTGAAGACTGCTGTGGCCTGATTTTAAATTGTTTTGGGGTGGGGGGGCCTCTGATATTGAACATTGCTATTGTCACAGACTTTAGGGAACATGGTCATAGGTAGCCCCTCCATCAGTCATCAGCAATAAACCACTCCCCAGAGGGGGGAAGGGGGGAAGGATGTTGCTTCTTGGGATAAGTAAAATTTACTGATCTCATTCTCTATTTGAAAAAAAATTGTTTTAGATTTGTTATTTTTTAAAATTTATGTTCGCGAGTGTGTCTATGAGAGTACTCACAGAGACCAGAAGAGGGTGTCAGATCCCCTGGAGCTGGAGTTAGGCAGTTGTGAGGTGTCTGACATGGGTGTTCAGAATTGAACTTGGGTTCTTAGGAAGAACATCAAGTACTCTAGCTCTAAGGTACCATCTCTCTAGCCACCTTAACTTTTTTTTTAAAGATTTATTTCTTTTTTTAAATGTCTATCTTTTTTAGAGCGTTCTGCACAGTATGCTGACAGAAGTCAACTGTGTGTTTATCTTGAGCCTTCAGTTAAAGAAAGTATTCACTTCCAGCTGTCATCAAACATTCACTGATGGAGTCTGGAGTTTGGTTTTGACTCTCCAGGCTCTGGGGCTACTTGGCTGGCTGAAGAGCCGAGGTTGGCCTTGGGCTTTGGCATTGCCCTTGGGCTGAGCCAGGGGCCCACTAGAATAGCTAGACTCTGGCTAGTCCCCTCATTTATGACTCTGCCATTTTAAAAACTGGAAAGCAGGGAAACACCCCTTCTCAGTCTACTTTCATTGTTTTTAGACCCTGTAACCCCCAAATGCTGATTTGGTCAAGTTGAAAATCAAGCAAAGACACCCCTGGAAAGGACAGAATTTGCTTCTTTCCACCACCATGTTGTGATGATCTTGCTCTCGCACCAATGGAGCCATCCCTCTCTCCCTATTTGGTGGGGCTGATTGTAATCAAAGTCATCCTCATCCAGTAGGCAGTCCTCTGGGACCAGTGCAGGATATGCTGTATTGGGGGCCTGGGTACAGGGGAGGCATAGCAGGCAAGGATGGTTATGGGCAGAAATTCCCGAAGTTCAGGTCAAGAAATTAGTCTTCCCTTCCTGCCAGCATTTCTCAAAGAAAAATGCCTGGAAAGAACCCCCTACTTCCTGAATCCACCACAGTCAGAAAGTCTGGATTTTCTGTGAAGAAACAAGTGCTAACTTTGGATAGCTGTTTGGAGTCAATCAGATGCAACACAGTGCTGTTTCTCTCACTTTGCAGAGGAGAAATGGAGGCTTCCAGAGGATGAATCCCACCAATGATGAAGGACAGATGTGAGTCCATGCTTTCTTTCTGTCTCCAGAGCCCAACTGTGCCTTCTCTCATAAGTAGGACTTAGGGTCTCAGAGCTGACAAAGCCCTATTGGAGTACGGCCGAACTCTTACTTTCCCCTCATTGAAGAAAAACAGGGCATGATGGGAGGCTTCAGAGGCTGTTAGTACTGAATTGGACCTGGAATTCAGCCTCCAGTCAGCTAGGCTAGCATTCATTTTTAGGACAAGTGTCTTGTGTATTAACCTTGTCAAGCTGAACAGAGCAATAGGAAAAGCCAGCTATCATTGTGGAGTACCTTCTTTGTAACCATTAGTATCTTATTATTTGGCCTGCGCTAGCCTTGAACTTGCCATATAGCCCAGGTTGCCCTGGAACTGAAAATTCTCTTGCCTCAGCCTCCTAAATGCTGAGATTATAGGCATGTTCCACCAGGCCCGCTAGCTACTGCCTTTTTTAGGGTGAGGATGTTCAGGATTGGTGGTTAGTAGCACAGACATTTGTTATTTTGATTATTTCCAGTCACTATATTTTACCTGCAGACACTGGCGTCATTCTGGGAACTTGAAGCATTTGATGACTTAGGACTCTGAGGGCTTGTAGCATCCTGTGTTGAATCACTAAGCACTCAGGGTACCAGTGGAGCGCCTAGGCTGTTTCCTTAGGGGATGGACACTTGTGGCACCTTCATCCTCTGGGTCACAAAACTATGGAGTTCTCTGGGCTCAAAAGAAGTTTAAAGCTAGTTCTACTGGTAATGCAGCAACAACTTGCATATGACCTTAGTCTTGAACTATGACTGTCCATTGCGGGGGTGGGGGGTGGTTGTTCCTTTGGAAGTAGAAGAATCAGCCCTAAGAGAGGGGAGTTTTTCTTATGTCTACCTCCACTCTGTGGGAACCCTCGGGCCCACCAGCACAAGCTATGACTGGGACTCTTCACTGGGTGGATTCCTAGGGGTGCAAATGCGCAGCCTCCCCAGACCACTCAACAGGGATGAAATTCTGGGTGGCTATTCCAGTAAGTTCACGTGCCATTCACAACTGAGATTTTTCTCTGATGAAGGTTCCTCTGAACTTTAAATTAGAACACCCAGAGGCCTTGGCTGTCAGCAGTCCTTTGAGGAGCCTAAGCAAGGTCACTGACACCCACTTCCACCGCTGCAGGCTGGATTTGGCCTCACTGGTCCTCATGTAGTGTGTAGAAGAGTCACCTGCTCTGGGGCTTGGCCTCATCCTTCTCTGAGCTAATGGTGAGTACTAGCAGTCAGTCAGTGGGCCGCTGTCCTAGCTCAGAGGAGGCAGCTGTGTGGAGCCACATTTCAGACAGGGGAGAGCATGGTTCAGGGTTTAATGGCAGGTACAGAATTGCCATGAGAGATTCCAGTCCAATCTACATTTAGGTCTATTCATAGCTTGAGCAGTTTTCTATTGTAAATCATGCAAATCTGCTGCAAAACGGAGTATTTGCCACAAATAGGCTTGAAGGGGTGTTGGCGATGAGTGAAGTATGTTTGTGCAGTGTGAGATCTGGGAGTCCTTGAAAGCATTGTGTTTATGTATGAGACGTTTTCAGAGAGGCCTTGCATCCAGGAATTTCAGTGCCCTCCCAGAGAACTCTGGTCTTGCAAATGCTCGCAAGCATCCCCCAAGGCTAAGGAGGGAGATGAAGAGACCCAGAAGAGGCTCAGCATTCCTTCGGCTGCCCTAGACTGAGGCAGCCTCCTCAACTGTGGCAGCAGCTTGGCACATGCCCCTTCCCTATCTCAAGACCTACTCCCCCCTTCACAAGCTGAATTGAGAAGGCCAATTTAATTTAATTGATTGCCACTTACAAAGCTGTAGTTACCCCTCCTAGGGCCTATTTAAAATTTCTGAACTATATAGAGATAACAAAATAAAAAGCAATACTGTAAGGCAAAGGATGATTATCAAACTGCTCTGAGAACCTTCAATGTGAGAAAGATATAAAAGGAAGATTGAAAGGTATTAGTCTGTAAGTCTCACTGAGGTCAGAAGGCTGGGGTCTTTCACAAAAGACTTTAGAAACAAAACTTTATAAAATACACACACACACACACACACATACACACACACACACACACAGCAGTCATCCCAGATAACCAGGAGTTCTTATCTTAGATTACATTAAGACCGTTAACCTATTTTAAATTCCTGTGGCACAGCAAGAGTCATATATATATTTTTTTAAATGCATGAGCTTTAAACTCGTTTTCTTACTTTAAATAGATGTATATTAACTCTCCGTTTAGACTTCAGGACCTCCTAGCTTAGTATAACAGCCCAACAAAATAAGAGTGGATACAAACTCTGTAATTTACTCACAGGCATAAATGGATATATAAATGTAAAAATGTGCACAATATTTTATGCCATGCTTGGCTTCATTGTGACCTAATGTTTATAATATGTAAATAATGGCTTCTTTTTAAAGCTAAGAACTTTTAATACACAGATTCATCTAGAAGTCCTTTTTCTTTACTATAAACAGAAGTAAAAAAAGGATTCCTTTGCAATAAATAAATACCCAATGACAAAGATTACCATTGAAAGGATTAAAAAAATGACAGAAGTCAACAGAAAACTTTCCATATCATACTTCCACTTTAATATGAAGATATTGTTATCAAAGGAAAAGACTCAAGAAATTCTTTGATAAAAATCTCACACTATCTTTGAAGCAGTTTCATTTATTTTACTACCCACTGTGTTCCTTATCAGAGGCCAAGGGTAAGAAGTTTCCTAGTTATGATTAGGAAAGAATCTGATAGATCAGAAGACCCAATTGAAGCCGGACATAATAAGTATTAAAGTATTACACGACATTAATCCTGCCACTCCATTACTCGCCCCATCTTTGTGTGCAGACTAATTATTCTGTGGCGGGTGTTCAGGAGAAAATAGAAACATACTTACCATGGGCTGTAGTAATCTCTTTATTGCATCAACAAGGCTGGCTCTGTACTGGTCCAGAAACAGGCTGACATTAAGAAGAGAGAAGAATCCAGATTAAACTGGGCCTCCAAGCTTAATGATACCAATGGTGATAAGTACAGGGCTAATTACACGTTTACCCAATACTAGAGAAGGAGATTGTTTCCCTTCATTCAATGGTCTCACTGGGAGAAAAAATTAAAAAGAAGATACTGTGGTCAGTGTTATCCAACTAAAGTCTAGCTGTCAATATGCTATGGGCCAGGATTCACACCTGCCTGCCATGTGTTAGTGTGAGAAGGACAGTTTCCAAACTGCTTTTTATGGGTGTCATCTGCTGGAGATGAATCACACTTGGCACCTCCCCTTGTTAGAGCCCAGCCTTCCATAGACCCGGGTCCCCTGTCCATCAGGACTGCCATGAGGTGATCCTCTGAAATCTCACCACCAGCCCGGTTGCGTGCATCATGGAACAATGTTGATGGAGGGGAACCTTAGTGATTATCAACAGCTCTAAGCTAAGACCCAGTCAGTGACCCATGTGTCAACAATTCCCCAAACAAAGCTCAGCCAAAGTGAGAGACCATGGTTACTCGGGGTTTTCTTCCTTTGACTGCCATGTTGTATCTTTCCTGTTCACTGTGATTTCTCATTTTTCTCCTTGGGTCTTTTGGAGAGTTTCTGTGGTTTCTCTGTCGCCTCTGTGGTTGAGTCATTCTGACTGCATGTTCACCATGCCTTCCTTTACAAATGTGGAACAGTTTCTTCATCCAAACTGACAGGTCCAAGACTCAAGTTTGGGTCAGCTGGCAGTTGGTGCCAAGTTGTTAACTTGCATGGTGCTATGGTTTAAATGTGTCCCTTCTAAATTCATGGGCTGCACACATATTCTACAATGTTACAGAATTGGTCCCTTGTTCTCCCTTCTGCCACATGAGGTACAGAGAAATACAGGGTTCCTTCCCTTGGAAAAGTTCAGCATTCAAAGGCACTAACTTGGAAAAAAAGACCAGGCCCTCATCAGACACCAAAACTACCAGCACTTTGATCTTGGAATTTCCAGACTCTAGAACTGTGAGCCATACATTTCTGTTCTTGATTAATTGCCTAGTATTCCATTTTAACAGCACAGAATGAACTAAGACACCTGGGGTGCTTATGCATGCCAAGGAGAGGTTTCCTATGGGTGGGCTGTGGTATGGAGGGGTGGACATGTTCAGAGGCACAGGGAGAAGAGGTCACTGCCAGACACCCTGTGAGCATCTGGAGAAGGGCTCTGAGCATAGAACACTCTGCCAAGAGAACACAAAGCTGCTGGAATATGCCAAAGCCAGCCGTTGGCAAAAGCCACTTCTCTCTGAACTTTTATTAGGATCCATGCTTCGGTGTCTATGAACTTTGGAGTTTAGAGCATGTAGATGGATGGATTTTTGAAATGTGAACAGTCCTGGCATGTCCAGGATGTTCTCTGAGTACCAGTAAGTATTGGCTGTTGGTAGGAGGGCTGCTATCCTCAGACAATGGGAAGTGGGAGAGTGTGGTTCAGGTTTAATAAAGGTCTGTCATTAACCTTTCTATGTGACCTTGGGCAAGTCACTTTACGTGAGGCCTTAGTTACCTGGTGAATGAAGGCTCACCTACTTGACTGTACTAATTCACAAATACTGTTATACACCTATGACATATGAAGGGCTATTTTAGGCATTGGGTCTAAGCTGTGAATAAGACCCAGCTTCCCTCCTCAAGAATCCATTCTGTTTTTTATTAACACTTCATGGCTCAGAGCACACCCAGACAGTGCTCAACATATTTCTTCCCTGCCTGAGGCGGCTCATGGTGATCTTTCAAATGGAGGGAGTCTATGTACAGTTTTGATCTCAATGATCCTAAGAAGTTTGCACACAGGCCTTTTCCAGTGTTGTTGGAACTAAGTCAGTATTTAGGTGAGATGTTTGACCAGTTGGTGCACTTCCAATTGATGAGTCTGTTATTTTGAGAAGGAAAAGCATGAGCTGGGAATGGTGGTGCATGCCCTGTCATGGCAGCAATTGGGAGGCTGAGGTCAGAGGACTGCCACGAGTTTGAGACCAGTCTGGCTACAGAGAGAGGTTAAGATGAGCCTGGGCTACAGTATGAGTCCTTATTTAAGGAAGGGAAGGAGAAAAGAAGAGGGAGGGAGGGACGGAGAGACGGAGGGAGGGAGGAGAGAACAAATGAAAAATTCCAAAGAAGTCAGTGCTGAGGATTAGACCCAGGGCCTCACACATACTAGGCAAACACTCTATCACTAAGCTACATCGCCTGTCCTGGAAAGGCGTTTTGAGCAATGGAAACCAAATCCTCTTCCAATGAGCTAGAAACCATGCCCAAACCTCATCTCATGCCACCTAGCAACAGAATAGCCCGAGAAAGTGTTATTTTTCACAAAATTGTGTCCTTAAATTTGAGTAAAGAATATGTTTAATTTAAATGTTACAAAATTTTTCCAGTCTTGTTCAGCAATGATTCATAACCAAAGATTGATAAATAATGCCTAGCTAGTTTTGAAAACCAGAGGGAACCATATTACTCCTACAACCTACTGACAAATTATACATAGCAGATCAAGAAATATATGGCTAGGCAAGGTTTATCTGAGAACAATTGGTCTTTGCCCAAGATTTATCTACATGACACACAGTAATTAAAAGTACCAGACTGGTAGAACTAACCTTCTTGGATGTTTAACAGACATACTTTGAGGCCTGTAATAATTTGGTCAGAGGGACATAAAGGACAGTTTTTGCTCCTTGCCCTCCTAGGTCGACTAGTTCCAGGGGACTATGAGCATCTCTCAAAATGTTCTGTAATTGTGGTGGGTCACCTGTCCTCTTGATCAAGGAGGCCAAGGAGACCCCCACCAGATGGACTTGAATCAGTGTCCAGTGTACAAAGAGGAGGGTCAACACAGAGGAAACATTTCCTCTACGCTTCCAAGCAAAGCCAGCCATGGTCGAGCAGGACCTTTTACTTATCTTCACATAGGTGGAACTGGTAAAAGAAGAAGCCAGGGCCTCCTCCCAAGCCCGTGTATCCCCTGAGGAACAGATCCTCAAATGACCTTAAGAGTAAAAATAAATTGGCTTATCTGGGCAAACTGTATGGCCTTAAACACCCAAAAGGAAAGTATAACCAAAGATTAAAGGGGAAAATATAATTTCTTAAGAGTCTATGTGCATAGCTAAAGGCTACATAACAAGCAACAATGCCAGATAGGAGATACCTTCTTTTGAGTTGTTGGCCAGGGTGGCCAAAACGATTCCCAGATAGTAACCTAGCATAGAACTGGGAAAATGAATAGCAGACCCCAATCTTATCCAAAGTAATATTGACA